AGATGTTTTACAGGAGGTTGCCAAGCATGAGGGAAAACGGCCAAATCACTATTATCCTAAACTTAAAAGCTCATTGGCAATTATGCAACCATAATAATTTTAGTTGTGTTCGTTTTATTTCATTATGTTTCATTCACTTTATATGTTTATCCAAAGTAATGATTAGTGTATGTATTTTCACAGTAAGTGACTTTCATAGTTATTCTTTAAAAGCTAGCCACTGTTGTTTGGTCAAGTTAATGGGCTTCATATTCCTGCTATCACTAGATACAGTCTATAGTTTGTTTTAGTGAATTTATGGCCTTTTTAATTAGACTAGTGATGTGGAACCGAAATCAAAGTAAACCTTGTATGCATTATGTTTAGTTTAAGTGAAACTCCTTTTACACTTATCTCAAGACTCATTATCTGAAAGTAGATACTGTTTTTGGCTTATTCGTTTCTTCTAAAGACCGCTAGATGGTGGTAACTTTTAAAACATATGTATGTGAAGGAATTTTCTTTGTCTTGCCCCTTTTACAAAGGCTATAAAAGCTTTCTGTTAACTAATAAAGGATGTCATCTGCTCAGGAAGCAGGTGTCCGGGAATAATGTTTTCGTCTTTCGCCTATCCGTCTCTCCTTCAGGAGATCTCACGACGTGGCAAAGGGGCTGGACCCCGTTACTTCTGCATGTGGTCAGCCAGTTTTCTCAGCAGCATTTGCTAAATATGGTCCCCATTGGTTGCTACTGGTGACTCTGTCAAAGATGAGTTGGTTGAGAGACCATGTTTTTGCTTCTGGAATCTCTGTCCTGCTTCCATCGGTCTGTGTGTCTATTCTTGTACCAATACCAGCCTGCTTTGGTTACTGTAGCCTTGTAATAAACTTTAAAGTCTGGAAGTGTGATACCTCCTGCTTTGTTCCTTTTGTTGAAGACTGTTTTGGCTAGTCATGCTCTTTTTTATTTCCATATGAATTTCTGCATTGCTGTTTCCAAGTCTGAGAAGAATGATATTGGTAATTTGATAGCTAACACATTGAATCTTTAGATTGGCTTGGGTAATCTTGATGATACTGATTCTTCCAATCCATGAGCAAAAAATGTTTTTCCATTTGTTTGTGTCATCCTTGATTTATCTGAGCAACATTTTTAGTAGTTTTCCTTGTAAAGGACTTTCACTTCTCTGGTTAGGTAGATACCAAGATATTTCTTTTGTGTGTATGTATGTGGCTATTGTGAATGTGATTGCGCTTTTTATTTGGTTCTGTGCCTGCTTGTTGCTGGTGTATAGAAATGCAACTGTCTTTTGCACATTGATTTTGCACCCTAAAACTTTACCAGTCATTTTTCAATAAGGGGAGGTCTTTGACCGACTCCCTTGGGTTTTTGAGGTACAATATATCATCCAAAAAGAGGGATAGCTTAACTTCTTCTTTTCCTATTTGGATACCCCTGATTTCTTTCTCTTGCCTGATTGCTCTGGCTGGAACTTCCAGCACTATGTTGAACAGGAGGGATGAGAGTGGCTGTCCTTGTCTTGCTCCCTTTCTTAGGAGAAATGCTTCCAATTTCTGCCCATTGAGCAAAATGTTGGCTTTGGGTTTATCATAGATGGCTCTTACTAGTTTAAGGAATATTCCTTCTATGCCTAGGGGTTCAAAGTTTTTTATCAAGAAGGGATACTGGATTTTGTTGAATGCTTTTTCTGCATCTAATGATAAAATCATGTGGTTCTTGGTGTTTCATCTGTTAATGTACTAAATTACATTTATGGTCTTGTGAATGTTGAACCCACCTTGCAACCTAGAAAGGAAGCCCACCTGGTCATGGTGGATGATCCTTGAGATGTGTTCTTAGATCCGATTTGCCAGAATCTTGTTGAGAATTTTTGTGCCTATGTTTATCAAGGAGACTGGCCTGTAATTCTCTTTCCCTGTTGAGTCTTTGCCAAGTTTGGGTATCAGTACAATGTTAGCTTTATAAAATGAATTGAGGAGAATTTCATCATTCTCAATTGCTTTGAATACTTTCAAAAACATTGGTATCAGCTCCTCCTTGGAGAATTCAACTAGGAAGCCATTTGGTCCAGGGCTTTTTTTTGGTGGGAAGATTTTTTATGATAGACTCAGTTTCCTGAAGTGTTAGTGGTCTGTTAGAATTTCAATTTCTTTTTTGTTTCAACCTTGGGAGGTTGTGTGATATCAGAGAATCCTCCATTTCATTTAGAATTTCCAATTTCAAAACAAATCACAACAATACAGCAATTGAAACAGTATAATACTGGTGCAAAGACAGATATATACACCAATTTAACAGAACAGAGAACCCAGAGGTAAACCCATGCATATGCAGTCAACTGATCTTTGAGAAAGGTGCCAAGAACACACAATGGGTTAGCAAAACTGAATGTTCACAAGCAAAAAAAACCAAAATTGGGTCCTTATCTCACACCATACACAAAAATGTACAAGAAATGGATTACAGACTTAAACATAAAACCTGAAACTGTAAACTGCTAGAAGAAAGCAAGGGGAAAACATCTTGACACTGGTCTATACAGTATTTTTTTTAATATCATCCCAAAACACAGGCAACAAAAGCAAAAATAGATAAATGGGAGTACATTCAAATAAAAATCTTTTGTACAGCAAAAATCAACAAAGTGAAATAACAATCTAAAGAATAAGGAAAAATATTTGCACATCATATATCTGATAAGGGATTAAACATCCAATCTATATAAGGAACTTAAACAACTCACTCACCAGAAAACAATAGCTCATTAAAAAATGGACAAAGGGTTTTATACGATTCACGCCTGTATTCCCAGCTCTTTGGAAGGACAAAGCAGGAGGATTGCTTGAGCCCAGGAGTTCAAGACCAGCCTGGAAAACATAGCAAGACCTCATCTCTACAAAAAAAAATTTTTTTAATTAGCCACGTGTGGTGGCACGTACCTGTACTCACAGCTGTTCAGGATGCTGTGGTGGAAGGAGCACCTGATCTAGGGGGTTCAGGCTGTGGTGAGTTATGATCATGCCACTGTACTCTAGCCTAGGTGTCAGAATGAGACCTCAACTCTTAAAAAAAAAACAAAGGACTTGAGTACACATTTCTCCAAAGTAGAAGTACGGATATGAAAAAATGCTCAACACCACTAATCATCAGCAAATATAAATAAAAACCACATGAAATATCACTTCATACATGTTAGAATGTCTATTATCAAAAGACAAAAGAAATGGGAAGCCTATCCACTGTTGCTAAGAACATAAGTTGGCATAGCCATTACGGAAGACAATACTGAGGTTCCTCCAAAAGTCAAAAATAGAACTACCCAGCAATCTTTCTTCTGGTTATACATCTAAAGAAAATGAAATCGGAATCTCGAAAAGCTATCTGCATGCCTATATTCACTGAAGCATTATTCACTATAGCCAAGACCCTGCAGCAATCTAAATGTTCATCTACAGATTAATGGATAAAGAAAATGTAGTATATACACACAATAGAATATTATTCATCTTTTTTCCATTTTTAAAATTATTATAAATATGTGGGGTACAATTTAGGGTTACGCACACAAACGTTGATTATGCAGGTACCCCTGTTAATGAGGTATGCTCCTCGCTCCCCTAGCAGTTTCCCTAAACTGCCAATCCCATCTCCCTCCCGTGA